CTCCTCCTCCTCCTCCTCCTCCTCCGCCTCCTCATCCTCCCCTAAATTACGCCTCCACAATTACTCAATATGAATACTACTCTCCTCCTTCCCCTGATGACGGGTTGGGAGTGTTCGCCCCCCCCCCCCACCCCGCGTATTGTTTTTTTTTGCACACAGGATTCCCCGGAGTTGGGTTTTCGCCTGCATTGTTTTCCAAAATGCTGCTCTCGCTGAGGCGCCGGCCTCATTTTCGGGCCCCGCTCGTTCTGAATCGTGCTCCCGCTGCAGCGCTGGCCTCATTTCTGTGCTTCCGCTCGTTCCGAATCGTGCTCCCGCTGCAGCGCTGGCCTCATTTCCGCGCTTCCGCTCGTTCCGAATCGTGTTCCCGCTGCAGCGCTGGCGTCATTTCCCGTGCCATGCCACGGCATGCAATGCAATGCAAGGTTGCGTTCCGCTGCGCGATGCCATGCCTTTAGCTGAAGCTTGATATGCAGTGCTTAAGTGCCACGTCGTGCTATGCCATGCTACGCTTTGATCTGCAACGCCATGCTATGCAATGTTATGTTCGGGGCCGCTGTGCGATGCCATGCTTTGCGTTGCAAAGCTTTGCGATGCAATTCTTCACTACGCCACGCCACGCCATGCTGTGACATACTACGCTTTGCGGTGCTCTTCTACGCCATGCCATGCCGTGCTCTACAATGCATCGCGTACCCTTTCGGGATCATTGCCCTGCTCGACATCCGACTGTGCGAGTAGAGAGGGGATCTGCGCCATGGTAAGGGATAGGAGGGAGGGGTAGGATGTCAGATATGACGCGAGCGCACCTAGCTTGCCTCCTCCCCCTCCTCCCTCCTCCTCCTCTCCTTTCCTCCCTCCTCCTCCTCCTCCTCCTCCTCCTCCTCCCCTCTCCTCATCCTCCTCCTCCTGATCGCCTCTCCTCCTCTCTCCTCCTTCATCCACTCCTCCTCCCTCCTTCCTCCTCCTCCTCTCCTCCCTCCCCCTCCACTCCCCCTCCCCCCCCCCCCCCCCCCCCCCCCCCCCCCTCATCCTCCTCCTCCTCCTCATCATCATCATCCTGCCCCTGTCCGAAACCAGATGGCCAGAGGGGGGGGTGCGGGGCCTCCTGCCGTCCAGGAGCCGCGCGGCCACTTGAGAGCAGGGCGGGGCGGCACGGGGCACGGGCCGTCGGGCGGGGCGGCGCGGCCACGAGAGAGATCAGCCACGGGCCACGAGAGCGGTGCCCGCGGGCGCCCACAGGGCGGAAGCCCAGAACTCGCCGCTGGCGCACAGGACGCCCACGCCTGCGCCCGCCAAGCGCAAGCCCGGAACCCCTCTGGTAGCAAAGCATGGGAGCTCAGCCACGCGCAGAGGGGGCTGGGGGGAGGGCGGAGGGCTTCTTAGGAGCACCCCTGCTTCTTAGAGGGCGCGGGCCTTCTCTGTAGATGTAAGGCCAGCGCCTTCGAAGAAGCAGCCGCCTTCTAAGAAGCCCTCGCCCCTCCCTCTACCCCCTTGTGCGCGCCGCCAGAGAGAGCAGGGCGGGGCGGCAGAGAGCGAGCGGGTGGCGTGAAGGCGAGAGCGCGTTTCTTTGTTATCGGCGATGATGGGGATTTTTTTTGGGGGGGGGGTAGGGGGCCCGGGGGAGGTATAATGTAACGCCCCCCCCCCGCCGTGTGCCCGATGCGCACGGCGGCAGTGCCCGGAGCGCACTGGGGGGGAGGGGCGTTACGTCATAGGGGGGGGGGAGGGGGGGTCGGGGGCTATAATGCCCATTATGCCCCAAGCAATAAAGAAACACGCTCCAAGAGAGCGCTTCTGATCCGCCCCATCCGTACTAAGCCAAAACCTCTTCCTCCCGTCCCTGGACGCCGCAGTTATCTGCGTAAGCTGGGAGCTTTGTGGGTCTAGCCACTTTGGGCGAGCACGCGCACAACTGGCAGGGCTGGCAAACATGCAGAGGCGGCCTGTTACGTCGTACTTCTGACTGTCACGGCTCCTCAAACTTTACGCTCGATTGCGACTTGCTACGTCATGTGATGAGTGGCACTCCGTCTCGACTTGTCAATGCCGTCTGTCATGCCGGGCTGAGGGACGAAACGCTGGGTCCTGCTGGCCTCGGCATGCGCGTGGCTACTGCGCTCGACCGAACAGCCCGACGCTCAGCGCAACGGCATGAACATGTTGCTCTCTCACACGCTCGAGTCGCTCCTGCTTGCGTGCGTGTGCGCGGGCTCGATTCTGCGCGACGCGGCGGGGGAACGGAGGCAGGAGACAGGGAGAAGGGGTCATCCCAAAATGCCAGAGCGTCTGCTTACTCTTGCTCTTCATCTGCCTCTGGTGGTCCGCTGGGCCTTACAGTGACGGACGGATCCAAGACAACGCCCTGAGAAGGCTGCTCGGCTTGTGTGAGCCCTGCAACTTGCCCGTGTTCGCACTGACCAAGGTCGGAGACGGAAGCTGCTGACGACGCGTCTATTGCCTTGAATGGCTCGCACAGAGAGAAGCTTACGGCTGTCAGCCTTCAGCTTGCGGGCATAGGGTGATCCATCCAGCATCATGTGCCGACAGCTAAGTGAACCCCAGACAGTTCTATCATGGCTCTGAACAGCTCATTGCCAGCTCGTAACTGTTACATCTGTCGTGGTGTAACAAACTTCCCAAACATCTCGCCATGTGACCTGACTGGCGGAGGCCTTCCGAACTCCGCCCATCGCATGGCAGACCATGTCTCACATGCCAGCCCTCCTCCTGACAGTAGCACGCGTTTGACACTGATGTGCTCTTTAAATGTGTCGAGTGTGTTGCGACACAGAATGTTACGTAGTACCGGGTCGCTGGCGATGCCGATAAACAGAACGACGAATGCAAACTGCGTGAGGCATTGTGACCGCTCAACGTATGCTTGGATGTCTCCTGGTCCACGCCTGTCACAATAGAGGTTGAGGACATGATATTATGTGCGTCGTATGCCCAAAGGTAGAGGGGTCGCCGTCATGTCAGTGCAACACTCAGTCCGGAACGTGCGCGATGGGTATCGTTTTTGTGCGGAGAGTGCGGGTATAGGTTGTGTATGTCGACGTCGGTCTGCGCCCGAGAGTTTAGCGGTTCGATCTCACCCCTGCTGATGTATGGGTCCGCTTGTAGCAGGGCTCGTGGCGCGCCGTCCTGTGGCATTGTATCTAGAAGCAGGAACTGCG